GGGACTGATCTATTGATGAATTTCTGCATTTTTTTCATTCCCTCTAATATCTGCAGGGGTGATCCAATTCCGGGCAACCTGATAGAGAAAGTTGACGAATACATCCCACATGACTTAACCATGCTATTTAATATTTTTGAGGTAATCCTTTGTTTAGTTCATAATTGAAGCATTTTTCCCAACATCCAACATTCGTCATTGGTACCTACATTTTTCCTTTTCCTCTGAAGAATGACACAGAGGTTTTGAAATCTTGGACCTGGATACACTCTGATGTCATGGACGATAATATCTACATGACACCTTGCCCCGCAGCTTCTTTATCAGGGAAATGTAATGAATCTCGTCTGGCAGAAAATCCGCTAGTGGCAGATTCCAACCACCACAGAGAAAATGATACTTGGTCCCCAAGCCACATCCTTGATTTTAGTGATTTGACTATAGGTGAGTTTCTTTTCCTGAATTTTATATTTACTTGCATATTTTTTTTTTTTTTTTTTTTTTTTTTTTTTGTCCTTCACAGGATTAAAATATACATATTTGCAGTATTTACTATTATTAACCCTTTTACTAGTGATTTTTGGAAACTCTTTAGTAGGTTGAACTTGTTCTCTCTTCTTTAGGTCATGAATGGTGATGGATGATCATGTTTACTTATGTTTACTATTGCAAACAATAAGTTAATTTAGAGGGAGTGAACGATGTTCTTTAGGACATGCATGGACTTTTTGCATGTGGAACAACAAAGTGAATACACAATAGAGTGTAACCATAAAGTAAACCTGGCCTATTTTGCCCTTGACAATCATGAACAACTCCTCTCGTCTAAGAAATTTGATTTTAAAATATAATACGTTTTAAAGCTGAAATTCATTCTTAAATAATCAATAATAATGTTATGTTCCTGAGTGTAAACACAAGCTCCATGACCTGACTGGAAATTCTGCAGGGGAACCTATACTCGACTTAATCCCATTATATCTTGATGTCTTCCGAGGAGATTCTCATCTCTTGAAACAGTTCCTTAAGAGCTATAAGCTTCCCTTAATGAGAAAGACTTCATCAGCGAAGGTGGTCGAGGGCAAAAGATTTGGCCAACTCTCTTACAGAGCAATGTAAGCTCCTAACATTTTATCCTTCCCTTTCAGTGTGAGTTCGATTATAATGAAGTTTTTCAAATTGGCTAAAGTTCAACTCATTGTGTGGCTTTGTTGGTATTTCTGATAATCTCTCTCTCTCTCTTCCACATTAGAAAGATTTTTTGCTAATTTGAGACTTTTAAAGAGTTTAGACTTTAGAAGATACTTTTCAGATAATCTTGACCAGAAAATCTTTAGCTACAGCAGTCATTACTAACATTTTAGAAGGTCCTCTTTTATTTTATCCCATTATTTAAAATATGACCAGAATGTCATAAAAACAGGTCTAAGAATTCAGGTACTTGGAAGATTGTCTGAATTGCTTTGCCAGACACACTATTAGTCTGTTGATAATTTGTTATGAGAAATTTCTTGTTTTTCATTGGGTTATTAGGTGTTACTGCATTTTGCACGAGGAGAATGTTTTGGGGGCCATTTTCAGCCTCTGGAAAGAACTGAGGACAGCAACCTCATGGGAAGAAGTTGAGGAAAAAGTGTGGGGTGACCTAAACAACTACTCAGGCTTCTGTTAGTCAGTAGTCTGTTATTACATGCGACTGATCTGTAAGACGTAACTACATTTTGTTTATTGTGATTCCCTTTTTTTCTAAAATGATTGTCTGGTTTGGATAAAAATGTCGCTTATATGAGCTTGGTGCTTTTGTCGCTGTACAATGTAACTGAACATCCGTTTAATCTATGAGTTGGAATAAAATGATTGCTGAGATTGCCATAGCATCATCTACTCTACAGATGTACGATTTGTTTGCTTCTTTTTTTCTCCCCCCAAAATCTGATGGTTCAAATATAATATGTGATTATCTTTTTAAACCCGACTACAAACCAACTTCAAACTGGTGAAGTTTTTGCTTTGAATTTCTTCTTCGAGCTTCATGTTTATATCCAAGCTCGATTGATGCTTGCATATAAGATATTTTTATTTTGTTTGGATTTTCTTAGTTTGGTATTGTTACTTTTGAAAAAAGTGGTATAGTTAGTTGGTAGTGAGATTTGAGTTTATATTAAAATAATATTTATAGTAAAATAATTACAGTTGATTTGATGTAAAATTAGGAGAGTGAATAATGTGAGTAGATGAATAGTGAATTAACGTTAGTATAACGTGTAAGAATGATTTAGAGGTATTATTTAATTATATTGATAATCTGATGATACTGGAGTTGGTTAAAAAGTGGATTTTTTGAGTTAAAAAAGTCGTTGGTTAAAAATGATTGGATTTTTTTAAAAAATTTTGTATCTGATGTTTATGTGCTTGGCATAATAACCCTATAAACTGTCATTTTGGTTTGAGTTTGGTTATAGCTGTAATTCGAATTGACATGTTTGCAAACAGGACTCAATTATACTAGTGGAAGCTTGAGGTCATCTCATTCATTTACTTAAACGAGCCAAGCTTGAACGACTAATCAAACACGTTTATTAAACAACCCAAGAGTCGAGTTTGTTTGCAAACAACTTTTTCTATGAGTTTTTTGGTGAGCGAATTTTATTTAAGATACAAAATATTAAATGAGTCAAACCAAGTAAAATCGAGATTTCATGAATTTAAATTAGCCGAGGCTTTTGTTCGTTTATTAAACAATCTGAGTTGGCTTGTTATGAAACGAGCACATGCTCGAACATATGCTACTCGGCTCAACTTGAATTACTTCCCGAGATATCATAATAATCACAATTTCAATTTCCTATATAAGACAACTTAAAAGTTAAGCGAGTCGATCCGTCATATTTTTTGAACAACTATGCATACTTATACCTAGACATGACCACAGGCCGAACCGGCCCGTGACCCGAACCGTGAACCGGTACCGGCCCGGACCAAACCGGCACCGGTACCGGCATGAACAGTACACGGGCCGTGAACCGGACCGGGCCCAAAGCGGTCCGGTTACGGTTCAATGGTTTTCATTAACCGGTCCCGGCGGGCCGGGCCGGGCCGGGACCGGTTCCGGTTTTTCCGACGGGTCGTAGTTCTTTTTTTTTTTTTTTAACCCGGCGGTTCAACGAACCGCCGGGCCGGGCCGGTTCAAATGAACCGGCCCATAGGAATTGCCGGGCCGGTTACGGGTCTAACAATTGAGGACCGCCGACCCGCCGGGCCGGGCCGGGCCCGGACCCGGCACCTGGCCATTTCTACTTATACCAAGAAGATATCGTATTTTTGTTTCTCGGTTTTATGAAGTATGTGCATTTTTCTTCAAAATATAAGTATATGAAATTTTTAGGCACATGTATATTACTTAGATCTTACTATATAAGAATGAATAATTTAAAAACTTTGTATGGGCTGACTATGAGATGAGGGAACGAGGACCACGTCACCACCATCAGAAGGAGGAGTCGAGAGGGAACGAGGACCACGTCACCACCATCAAGGGCTACAGATCCAAGATCGAGTCGGAGCTCTCCAACATCTGCGACGGCATCCTCAAACTGCTCGACGAAAGGCTAATCCCCTCCGCCAACGCCGGAGATTCAAAGGTCTTCTACCTCAAGATGAAGGGCGACTATCACAGGTACCTGGCCGAGTTCAAGACCGGTGCGGAGAGGAAGGAGGCTGCCGAGAGCACTCTCACTGCCTATAAGGCTGCTCAGGTTTCTTTCTCCTCTTCTCCTTTATTATGCAAATCTGATAGATTATCAATTCTGGCGATGTCTAGAGAGACTTATCGTTTATTATGCGTGATTGATATCTGAATTGGATGGAAAATGGATGGTTGGTCTATCATCAAATATGTGCATCCTTAAACTATATTGACATTTTTGTGTGATTGTGTGTGAACTTTTAATTGAGTACTGTGCTTATTAGTAAGACTGATAATCTTACCCTTCTCCCCAATATTTACAATTTTTTAAGAAATTTTTTCTCTTGCACCATGTGTTTATTAGAGACTTTAGAGTAGTCTTTTATCTCAACATTCTTAACCTGTGATCTGGATTTCATTTAATAATGCAGAAAAGTTATTGACTTTTTGTATGCTTTGTGCAGGACATTGCGAATGTGGATTTAGCCCCAACTCACCCTATCCGTCTCGGATTGGCACTGAATTTCTCAGTATTCTACTATGAAATTTTGAACTCCCCAGACCGTGCTTGCAATCTTGCAAAACAGGTAAATATTATGAAAAGTATTATGCAGCTTTTCCAATATGATTTTGATTAAACAGAAAAAAAAAAAAAGAAGGAAAACCATCACAAGATTTTGAAATCCATTAAATTCAGCTACTCTTACGAAATGAAAGGTAAATAAAATAATGTTTCATAAATTTATGATGCCTAATTACGTTCATCTGCCATTTGTGCAGGCTTTTGATGAAGCCATTGCAGAGTTGGATACACTGGGCGAGGAGTCCTATAAAGACAGCACCTTGATTATGCAACTTCTCCGTGACAATCTCACCCTATGGACCTCCGACATGCAGGTATTTATCCTTAAAATAACGTCAAGTGAAACATATAAGTGTATCTTTGAAAGGACAATCACAAATACTAGCCTAAGTGTGTGTTTAAGACTCGCAGCTCTCAAAATTGCTAACGCCCCATCTACAAATGTTTGTACTTCACAAATTGGATGCTATCATGGGCAGCTTTTAAGAAACCATCAAACTTGAGGGGGGTGTATGTAATACAGTAATACTTCAAGGGGAAAATGTTCATTATTTTGTTGTATATGTTTTGATCAGATTCTTTTGTTATTATGCTAAACAACAAGTATAGCATCTGTAACTACAAACATAGAACTCTGTGTCACATAACCCCACTCTGTTAGTCCTATTTCAGCTCATACTTTTACTTTACTAAAACAGAGAGGTTCTGAGAATGGGAGCTGCACTTAAGTTTAAACTATCTTTCCAGTTGCTTAGTTTTGCTTGTATATTAAATACATTGATGTGCAGGATGAAGGAGCTGATGATATCAAAGAGGCTCCCAAACCTGAAGAAGGGAAACAGTGAAATTGAACTCTTCTTTATCTCCATTTGGCGGATTTTTTTTGTTAGTATTTATTTAATTTGTTTTAAGTTCTGTTGTCTTGCTGTTTTGCGATCTAGGATTTGGCGTAGTGGTTACTGGATTGTGTTTCATATTGATTTCCATTATTGCAATCTAATATATAAATGAAGCCAAATTCTTAATTTCCAGGAGTTGTTGAATTGCCATTTGTTGCAGCATTTATTACCTTCTCTGCATGAACTTCATTTCAAATAATAATGGTGAAATTTTTTATTCTAATTTCGAGCCTGAACAAACTCCCTTTTGACTTCTTTATGGTTTCTCGAAGAACTTGGGTATGATTCTAGTGAAGTTGCATGCAAGCCACTCGGCCTCATGTTTTTCATGCACGTGTTAATTTGTAAGGAATGTTTTTTCTCTAGTCCAAATTTAGGGACTATTTTATTTTATTTTTTATTTTTTTAAAAGACATTTAAAGTAAAATTTTCTATTTTGTGGGAGAACGAACTGGTTGGTTGTCAGCAGTATAATACACCCTTAAAAAGAGATGGTGTCATGGGTTTTGGTAGGAGCGAACACAGGTCGATACCATCCTCGAAACGGCCGAAACGAACCGACATCGCATATGTGGGACTGATAGAATGGAAGAGGTTGAGCTCGGCCTCCTTGTCTAGTTGATTCGAATCATATCAACACATCACCTATATGGGATTTACTGACAGGCGATGAGATGCAAAACCTCCGAGCCAATGATCTACGCCCATAGATACACGCGTCGGGAGTGGAAGATGTCATCTGCGTTGGGATTCTACCTAGAAAGTACAAAACATTAAATGTTGATGTGTCATAAAATTTCTGAATATCTAGAAAACAAAAGAAAAAATCCGGAAAAGGAGTGTAATCCCAAAGAACCTCGGATTTCCTATAAAAGGAAAGAGGAGCATCAAATGTAGGGGAGGCTTTTTGGGGATTTTTCGAAAAAAATGAGGCAATACTTTTACGAACAATATCCCTATTCGTCCCAAGGCCTTATATCTTTATCAAATTCTTGTTGAGCCGAGTATTCCAAGTAGATTATTGCTTATTTTCGTTGTTACAATTTCATATAACAATATTTTGGCGCTAGAAGGAGGGCGGAACCTCCGATTGAATCCAGATCATTCAAGACCAAGGAGCGATGTCTTCATCTAGTCAACGGGATGGCCATGAGAAGTCAGAAGGTGATCAAACTCAGCGAGGTTCTCCGGCGACCGATTTCACCACTTTGTTCAAAAATCCGGACTTCATTAAGGGATTTTCTCACCTCATGACGCAAATCCAACACACGACATCTCACACACCGAAGACCCCGACCAAGAAGGACCTCACCATGGTGCTAAACATGGGCAAAGAGCTTGTCCCGCAAAAGGACGTCTCACAATCTCGGGATAGTCGCACCAAGAACCAAAGAGAGAAAACGACTGGCCGCACGGAGCAAGAAGAAACTGGCGAAAGCAGATCGGATACAAATTCTAGGACACGTCAAACTACCAACTCAATTTTTACCCGTCTGGGGTAAAAACGAACTGAACTCGACCTCGGGCAAAAGGTCCTCAAGAAACAATCGAGCAGAAGTGACAATGCTGAGATGGCCAAACTCAGAAGAAGGCTAGTAGAGCTCGAAGCTCTGCAAAAGAGGACGGGACAGACAACCTCTCCACTGCGCAACCAAAAAAAAGATCCGCTCGCCGACTCATCATCACCCTTGTCATCCAACATCATGCGAGATCCGTTACCAGACAAGATAATGGTGCCATAGATCGGACTGTATGATGGCAATTCAGACCCTAACGCACACCTCAGTCTCTACACTTCCTGGATGGACTTACACGGATGCCCTCAGATGCCAAATGTTCTCGCTGACGTTGGGGACAACAGCATACAAGTGGTACGATTCTTTACTTCCGCATCCAGTTTACGACTGGCCATTCCTTCTGAACACATTTCATAGGATCACAAACGTGTATGATACCGAAAGATATAGGTTTCGAATTCGGTCCTGGTTAAGAAATGCAATGGAGCCTGGTGACCGTGCGTGGATTTTAGCGATTTAAGCAAGGCATGCCCAAATGACAGCTATCCGTCATCAACTATTTGGAGGACGCAAAGGCTGGGCATGAACTCATGAGCTTCATGGACGCGTATTCCGGTCACATTAAATCCCCACGGACCCCGAGGACGAGGAGCACACTTTGTTCTATTCGGAAAGTGAACTTTATTGCTATAAGATGATGTCGTTCGGACTGAAAAATGCCGGAGCAACATATCAGAGGCTAGTCAACAAGATGTTCGCAGATCTTATAGGCGATATAATGGAAGTTTATTTTGATGATATATGTTTATTAAGTGTGTATGTGCAAACGACCATGTATCCCATCTTAATATGACGCTACTCAATGGTTTTGAATCCCAAAAGGTGTACGTCCGGGGTAGGTTTGGGAAAATTCCTTGATACATAGTTAGCCAGAGGGGAATAGAGGCTAACCCCGATAAGATTACGACTATTTTAGAGTTAACTCCTCCAAAATCAGTAAAAGAAACACAAAGATTAACTGGAAGATTAGCCGCATTGAATCATTTCATCTCAAAGTCCACGGATAGGTGTAGACCTTTCCTCGAGGCTATTAGCTAGATCTTGTTCGTAAGTGTCAGACAGCCGTTAGGAGTGTTGAAGTGTCCAGATCTGCGATTATTGTTTTTGTGGTATGCTGCCTTTTCGAGTGGTTGTCTTATAGTGTTGGCACCTACTGGCGCTAGCGATGTTGTGCTCGTTCAAAGTAGGGGAGGACTTTAGTTTATTTAATTTTTATTTATGTCTTTCGTTGTGTGTTTTGGTCTTTTATTTGTTTGTTTTTGTGTTTTGTTCTACTTTAGCTAGGATTGTTTAGACCAATCTTCTTTGAATTTGTTTGTTGCATGTGGTGTAGAAATCAGATTGATCTTAGTCTTGTTCCACTTAATGCGGACTTCTGTTCCGGCTTGTAAAATTGTTTAGTTTAATTTGTATTTTTGTTAGGCCATGTCAGGTTTGCTTCTTATTGTTGGCATTTTTCTTTTCAATTTGGGCTATGTTTAGACCAAATTGTGTTGACATTAATTGACGTCAGATTTTTGTAATTTTATTTACGTGTGAGTTATAATACTACTTATATGGTTCTCGAAAAAAAAAAGAAATATATAATATGGAAAATGGTAAATAATTTTTTCTAACTTGTATTATATGTGTTTTTGGGATTTTCAACCTAAAGTATTTTTTTTTGTAACATGTAACTTGAACTACATATATATAATTATTCGCATGATCGAATACTTTTTGACCGTCCGATCATCAGCAAAAAGGAATACGTGTATGGTCAAGATGTAATCGAGCATGCAAATAGTGACTGTGTATAGTTCAAATTACATTTAACAAAAACAAAATTACTTTAGGTTAGTACAAATTGAAAAAAATTATTTACCTGTGAAAAAAGTGAATAATAAGAAAAGACCTTTGGCGTTTCCTTGCCTATCTTTGGTGACGACGGCAGTGATGACTCTAGTCCAGAAGGTACCTCATGCGCAGCACACGGTACAACTTTCACACAATTGACGACTAAAACAGACGGCCCAAAACCTAAATCCCAAAATCGCTAAAAGGCGTATGCACCAGAGGTACAACCACTGTAAACCCACTGTCTTTTAACCCTAGTCTCTAGAGAGAGGGAGGATAAGTTAACCACGAAACAAGTTAGAGAGAGGGAGAGAGAAACGTTGGTATATAAATATATACAAATATATACTTATATAGAGAGAGAAAGAGAAGAGAGACATAGAGAGTGAAGATGGATAAAGGCTTGGGCGACGAGTCTTCTTCCATTTCTTCTTCTTCATCAGCTTCAATAGCCAACAATAGCAATAGCAATATGGTTATCAAGCAAGTCAACAAAATTTCTCACAAAATCGCTAAACCTATGCGAAAACCTTTCCCCCTTCCAAATCCCCCCTCCGCCGCCGTCGGCGCTCCTCCTACAATCCCGGCTGTTGACCCGAACCCACACAATTCGGGACCGGGTCAGGGTCCACCACAATCGCAGCAGCCTCCTGTCTATAACATCAACAAGAACGATTTCCGCGACGTCGTTCAGAAACTCACCGGCTCCCCCGCTCACGAGCGCCTCCCAACGCCGCCGCCACCGTCGTCGGCCACCCACCCGCGGCCGCCGAGCTCCCGCCTTCAGAGGATCCGGCCCCCTCCCCTCGCCCAGATTGGCAACCGCCCTCCTCAGATCGCACAGATCCACCCTCACCCCCCGAACGACGCCGGCCATAGGCCCCTGATGCGCGGACAGCCCCTCCCGCCGCTCCCCTCAGTTCATCCGGCGGCGGAGTCCCCGATCTCCGCCTACATGCGGTTCCTCCAGAACTCCGCCTCCAATGTCCCGCCTCCCCCCCTGTGGAACGGCGTCGCACAACCCGGCGATTCTCTGCCCGTTCAGAATGACTTCGGTCAACGGCCCCCTCCGTCGTTCTCGCCGCTGCATCCGGCGGAGTCGCCAATCTCCGCCTACATGCGGTTCCTCCAGAACTCCGCCTCCAACGTCCCGCCATCTCCTCTGTGGAGCGGCCTCGCACCGATCGGCGGTGGTCCACGCCCCGATTCCCTCCCGCCGCCGAACGAGCTTGGTCAACGCCCGCCTCCGCCTCTCCAGCCGGCTGGATCTCCGATGTCCTCCTACATGCGGCCCATCCAGACCACCGGCGGCCCCACATCTGCTGCTCTTCCCCCGCCGCCGCAGCACCATCCCCCACCTATTCCTTTTCCTTCCCCCTTTTCAGCTATGCCGCTGTCACCCCTCCCTTTTGGATGCATCCCGTCGCCCAGATCTCCGTATGGCATGATGTCTCCAGGCTTTCTTTTCTCACCGACGGCCCAATTTGGGTTGCCACAGCTGCCCCCTCTGTCACCGACTTTCCCTGTTCCAAGCCCCCGTTGGAAGGGTATGTAAGGAATTTCCCATACGAAGCATCTTAAAGGTAAGTTATTTTTAGGGTTTTCAGAAATATTTTGCTTCAATTTTTTGTGTTTTGTTTTAGATTATTACTGTTACAGTGGTATAACGTAATTTGCACATGTACATGGTTTTTGAGATGTTATAGTGGAAAAAGCTAAGAAAACCAGTGTGTTATAGTGGGAACTGGAGCCAAGCATGTAGGTTAAGCTGGTTGATTTTAGTGTTTGTTTCTGTACATGAATGGTGAAGAAAGTGAAGGGAAAACCTTTTTTTCACTGTTTTGCAATGTTACCCTAATCTATAGAAATTTCTCTACAATATACTCTGTAATTGTATCTTCTATACATTTGGGTTCTATCATATTTGAATTTCGTGTATATGTTTAACACTTATGAACTATGTTGCACGGTTGTGATTCTTTCTTTAAATGGTGGAAATTTTGTTGGCCTTGATTTTGTCTTAGTTTCTTCATGTTATCCCTTTGAATATCAAATATTAGCTTCAACTAGGAACAGTGGATAATGATTTGTTCTTTCTTGATGCTTAGCACATAATTTGTGCTAAAGAGTTTTATCGTTTGTGCCATTCAGGTCTGTCTTGTGCAGAAGACTTAAAAGTTACAGACAACTACCGTACACATTAACTTAAGCAAGAGACTTATGCACTTTCTGATGTATTTCATGATGTGCTAGATTCTAAATTATTATTATTAGAAAGATGATAGAAGGAGCTTTAGAATTTGGTGGTGGGGTTTAACCACTGTTTATGATTTTGTCACAAATACCACTATTATCATAAATTTTTTGGGTAGGGATTCATTTTCAAAATATTGAAGGGTTGCTGCATTTTCAAAAGCTAATACTGTACAATTGGCAGCAATATACACTTTTATATGGTCCAGAGTTGAAAATAATCAGTATTCAGTATTAGGTATAAGTGTACTGTCCTTGTTTTGATTTTTTTTCTTCTTTTGGTTTTGTCCCTAATGATGTATGTACATACAGTCACATAAGAGAATAATTGTTGGATTAGGTTGGCTAAATTGAGTATCTATATGCATTTATTTGGTGTTTGTGGCAGGATTAGATATTAAGTCCAGGTTAGGAAGTTGGAAGGTTGAAAAGGTATCTGCAACGCTCAACTTCCTTGTAATGTAATCATGAAATTTGCTTTTTCTTTGTCATGTGATCATGAAAATCTGATTTGAGATTCTGCATAGAATAAAATTCAACAACAACAACAACAACAACAACATACCCAGTATATTCCCAACAGGTTGGGGTTTGGGGGGTCAGTTGTACGCAGACCTTACCCTTTAATTATACAAGGAGGCTGTTTCCGTAACGACCCAAGGTGCATTGTGCCGTTTGATATTTTTTTTTTCTAGAAACTTCACTAATAGAAGAAGCACACCATTTTGATCTAGTCCATTATTAGCACTATGCCAGGAGAATTGTCAACAATGACTCTTGCTCAATTTGCAATGGACAATATAGAATAAAATTCACAGACTAAATAAAGGAAATTATTTAGGGTCAAAGGCTACCCACTGGTGGTGAACTATTTGTGCAACATGATTGTAAAAATTTGGAGTCGCTTACCTTTTTTTAATTGTAATCAAATTCTCAAGGTTATTTAAAAGATTGAAGAGATCTTATCAGTTCCTTTCTTAATTGTGCTTGACATTTAACAAAGATACCAAATGTCACTTGAGCATAGCATAACCCATACCTCTGTGTGGCTTAGAGCCGAAAGAAGTGATAATTTTCCATTTCCCAACTGCACCATGTGCATTAGAATAAGGTTTGATAAGTTGATATAAGACTTATATCCGAAAAAACTGGATTGAAAAATTTTATTCATCATAACCTTCAAAAAGCTGTGTTGAATATGTTTAGTAATTCAGTTGATGTTCTTGAAGATAAAGTTACCTTGTCTTTTTTTGGTTTGCAAGAAGGGATATCCTGACTCGGATTTTCTTGCGTGTTTTTAGTTGATATTGGGCTGTAGCGGTAAAGTTGTTGCAAATTTTCTGAGTTCCTTCTCTTACAATTAAATGACCCAGTAAATTGGTGTTCTGAATTTTGTTAAGTTAGCATTAGGAGTAATTGAGGAGCATTTATGATAGTTGCATGTCTCTTTATGCAATATAATGATCAGATGAATCTGATTTCTACCTGTCCATAGGTTATTGATTAACCAAGCAGGCATAGAACATTGATTCCATCTCCATCATCATTTAGATAAATTTCTGTACTGATTTTACTGATAATCACAGAAACTGCTCCTAAAGTTTTATGGTAGTCACAAAATATACCCTAGAGAAGTTTAATTACAAAACCCTGAAAATTGTTTGCATTTTAGCATTTTCAGAAACCACCCTCCTAATAGTTAAAATTACCCATGTGTCCTATTATGGGTTAGGATAGAATGGGAGGTTCTCTAGTTTTGAACCTTGACTGAACTCTCTTGTAGATACGGCAGACTTTAGGGGTACCTAACGTAATTCTGTTTTTCAACTGATCATTGGAAAAATTATCTCCATGCGTAGTTCTGTTTTTCAACTGATCATTGGAAAATTTATCTCCATTAGATCTTATGCGATTTGTTATTGGGAATATTTTTAGTGTGTGTAAAGTGGATTTTGTGGCACTCCTAAGAATAATTATAGGGACAAACGCTAAAGTCTTCACTAGCGATTTTAGTAATGAGTATTATGCCAGAAAAGTTGAAGCATGATTTAATCCCAATAAGTATTACAAGTCTTTGACTATATAGCTAGAGCCAGAGTGCTAAATGAATAAGCTGCTCGTGAGCTCAACTCGTTAAATTTTGAGTTTAGTTCGTGTTGTGTTTATTAAATAAGTCGAACTTGAACTTGTTTAGTTAACGAGTGTGAGAATATGATTTTTTACGTAATTTTTGAAACTCTTTGCTTAGCTCGACTTATTAATATTCATTTAATTGGGCTCGACCTTGTTTATTGATTCATTAAAACTAGAGTGTGGTTTATTAATAATGATAAATGATAAATGAGCCGATTTGAGTTTGTTTATTAGGTTATTTAGTTAAAGAGTTGTTCATATGGCCATGCGCAACAGTTTATTCAGAAATAATTCGACTAGACTCGGAAGCTCAGAAGAGCATCGTGGACTATGGGAGAGGAATAAATATTACTTTGACAAAGTCTATAATAGCCTGAAAACTGCTTTAGATTTTACTCTTCGGTTCCGACGCGGTTTTTGATGGTGGGGCCTAGTATTTTTTTTTTTACTATTTATTTAACTCAAAATAAAAAATTAAAAAAAAAGAAAAAAAGTTGTCATCAAGTGTATTATTATAAACTAGTATCAATCCGCCAATGTACGAGATGATATATATTTTGAAAATCATAAATTATTAAATGCATTCTTGTACACAACATTTTTTGTTTCATTTGTTGGCGAGTCATCGTCCCCACCGACTAATATTTCAAACCACTTCGGTTGGTGATATTGGAGACAACAACGTATAACTAGCCATGAAAATTGACTTCTGAAAAAATAAAACGACATGAGATAACGATTTTCGGTAGTACCAGTCGTCAGTTATGGACTCAATCATGGCGCATATCTGACTTATTAGTTTCCTTTGTATAAGATTATCAAAAAATGAATAACAAATATTAACATATGTTATTAACATAAATTATGTAAAAAACGATTTAAATGACTCAACATAATTCGTAATACCTCGTATATCTCATAGAGAGAATCGACAGAGGTCACAACCATGTGACTGGAAGCAAGTTCATCAATTTCATCTCCAGCGACAATTGAGCTTCTTGAAGAAAATGAGCATTCATAGCATGAGTATTATTTCCCAACCTATGAGTTGATGTGAACCAATAATTCAATACATAAATAATATCACGAAGTTAATAAATAAAATTATAATATTAAATTTTCATGTATATGTTGAAAATACCAACCTTTTCTTAAGGCCTTGAATTTCGAGGAGATGCTCAATTGCAATAAGTCGAGTTACATTATGCAATGTGATCACTTGAACTTTTCGTCCTATGTTTTCGAACATAATGTACATTATTATAAGATAAATAAAAACAACGTATATGATCTATTTCGTTGGACTTAACTACAAACGATTTATAGATATATAAAAGTACCTCTCAATGGCTGACTCGACAAAGATTGATTATAAGTATTCATGGATGATTACCGATTGCAAATTGTGACTCGAATTTAGGGAGTCTGTTGATGACCGACTTGGTTTCGTGAGATTAAGCCGAAGACTAACCGCCCCATTCGATCAATGGTCCCCCAGAAATAGCTGAACTTAGCTTAAGTCGGTACCAGTTGAATAAATAAATTACCGACTTCCAGATGGTAGAAAGTAGAACCGACTATTTATCAGAAACCGATGACCGACTTCACCGACATTGATTCGTTGTATTAAAAATTATCCATTTAACCGACTTTCGAGGGGATCAAATATCCAAGTAAAAGGAGCTGTAAACATTCGATTGGACCATCAAAACAAGAAGCAATCATTGATGTTCCCTTGTTCCATAACACACCGCTTTATTAAAGCTGCTCAACATTAAATGCGATCTTATCTACCTCGGACAAAAAGACAAAAACATCCGTACTATAAATAGCAGAATTTATGATTGTACGGTGATCTTTTTTCGTACATTGTACACGGACTTAAAATGATCTCGGTCAAGATAAAAAAACCGACTTCCTGTACTCTTGTGAACTCATCAGTAATATATGATTATCTTCTTATTTCTGTTTAACCACACCTTGTTGTTTTAATTTCGAGTTGTTAATTTCATACAACAACAGTTTGGCGCTAGAAGGAGGGCTGTCTCATATAAAATTTGAGGTTAACCTTTGACCTGCTATATACGTGTGTAAAGAACACATTCACACACGTATTACCATTATGTCAAGTTCTGGGCGACAAGAACGAAATCCAGATGCTGGAACCAGTCGTCACCCTGCTCATACAACTGACAATTCAACTATACCATCTATGACGATAGATTACTCTGTTCTATTTCAAGACCCAGAGTTTCTCAGAAATCTATCTAATTTCATGGCACAAACAAGAGCAGGACCAACCGTAACGGTTCCTAGTCAAGCTCATGCTTCAAATCCTCAAATCAGCAACGGACGCCGCCCGTTCAACAACAAAATAGTATTCCTGCTGCGTCTCATGCAACTTCTCACCCACGAACACCTGAGTCGCAACACAATATTGCCGCTCACAATCGTGGTGTAGTCCCTGTTAATAATCATCCCCCGGAAGGAGTTCAACCTGAAATTACTGCTGAAAGTCATTCTAGACGTCGTCAACAGCAACCGGTGCCTCCGCCACCGGCGGCTTCACAACATGTTCGACAATCTGACTTACGACATACCATTGAACGAAATCGATTCCGACGTGAGAACGATGAATTACGTCATACTATCGAGAGGAACCGTTTAAGACGTGAGTCAGAAGAGTTGGAAATGTTAAAGAAAAGAATTGCTGAGTTAGAAACTCGACAAGACAATTCTGAGGGATCCCAACAACGAGTTCCCTTCTCGGAAAACGCCTATCTAGAAGCCGAGACCCCATTGGCTCCTCATTTGACAAGAGGACCACTTCCCATCAAAGTTAAGGTCCCTCAGATCGGTCTTTATGATGGTACTTCAGATCCAGATGCACATCTCGGTCAATATACCTCGTGGATGGACCTTCATGGGACAACCGACGCATTAAGATGTCGGATGTTTCGTTAACCTTAGGACCCCGGGCTCAAAAATGGTATCATTCCTTGTCCCGTTGTTCAATCTCGAAGTGGCAACAGTTGAGAACGGCTTTCCGATCTCATTTCATCGGGGCCCGGGTATCTTTAATCCCAAAAGAATCCATTGCTAATATTGTGCAAAAGGATAATGAGAGTGTAAAAGACTATATTACTCGGTTTAATGAACGAGTACAAAATATGGAGCAATGTCATCCGGAGACGTTGCTGATTACAGCGATAGCTGGATTAAAGCCAAATTCCTTGTTTCGCTGGAGTATTTATCAAAATAAACAGACTTCATTTCAAGACTTTTTAGCTCGAGCTCAGCAACATATCATAGCTGAAGAATCGATGTCAGTTCCTACTCTCGACTTTTCTCTCAATAAGTCGAAAGTAGAACAAGAATCGAAAAAGAAGAAAAACAAGTCTTTCAAACCGAACAGATCTCGGTTCGGGAATCCTGAAAATCCCGAGGTGAAGGAAGTCAGAGCCAAATATCTTAATGAAGTCAAATCCAGCTATCAGACGGTCTTCTCCGCTGGAGCCGCTACCATATTTGAAGAATTAAAAGGAAAGGGGATCCTTCCCGACCCCCGACCTGTGAGGACTCCGGAAGAAAAACTTGACAAGAAAAAATATTGTTCATATCACAAGTCGGCGGGACATGATACTGATGAATGTCTGGGTTTGCTCTCTGCCTTATTGCGACTTATTGGACAGCCACAAGTCCAAAAATTTGCCAAGAATACTGATTATAAACGAAAAGGCAGACTGCCAGAACCCCCATATGATGATGAAGACAATGATCGTCCTGTCAATCCGAAGCGTATTAGACAAGGTGATAAAGAAGTATTTATGTTAAACTCGGAGGAGAATGATTCTCCATCTTCGGTTGAAACTGAAACGATCCAACGAAGTGATTATTTTAATCCTCCTGGTTTTCATAATGTCCCCCCAATTAATAACAGTAGCGGCAAGTCTTTTGAATCACGCCGACAAATGAAGGCTTATGCTCGAAAAGCTTACAACTCGGGTAAAACTGTCTTAACAACCGACCTCTGAGATAAAATCAATGCTAGGAATAACTGTCCGATTACCTTCAATGTGGATGATGCTAGCTATTTTGCTCATCCGCACTCTGACCCTCTTGTGATTACGGCACCAATTTGCGGGATACTAGTACATCGGATAATAGTTGATACATGAGCATATTCAAGTATTTTAATGCTCCGCACGTTTGAACAAATGGGAATTGATCCAGCCAAGTTAAAACCCTGCAAAGATCAAGTACAAGGTTTCAATGGAACAATCACACCAACTCTTGGTGAAATAACTATGTCGATTCGGTTTGCAATTCCTGGGCAGGCCTCTAAAGTCATCATGGAGACATTTAAAGTGATGGATCTTAAAAATGAATAAAATGCCATTGTGGGAAG